TTATGTTTGTGTCGATTATTATTGCGATACGTCGTCGTAATAAACTGGCGCGCATAATTTAGCCTTTGACAAACATTACATTAATGTCACGCTTTATGCTAAAATTGTTCTTTGTTCAAGTCCGCGCGCGCGTATGTGTATTATAATACGCCATTACATTAGCCGCGAGCACATTGCACGATGCTGCCCCGGCCAATAATACCTCGCCGCACTACCGAGAGAGAGAGAGAGAGAGAGCGAATATAACAATTACGTTAAGAATTTTCGTGTACTTATGTAAATCAATGTACTGCTGCGCGTATATGAATGCAGCTCGTTCGCTCGGATATTTTATGCGTATTACGAGCTGCGTACACGTTGTGCGAATGTATGTTTTTTCGACGCGCGATACTCGAGACTGCTGAGTAAATTTTTTTTTTCCCCGACCAAGCGCGCGCGATGCGTAGCATATATCGCGAGTCGATGCGCGCTTTTCCGACAGCAAAATTCCGCGTCCGTGTGCGTACAGCACATATAAACAAAAAAAGAAACGCATTAAGAACGGCACGCAATTATGCGATCGGAACACGCGTTACCGCACGCACGGACGCGGGCGCGCGCGCTTAAGAGCGCGGAGAGGATAAGTGCTCGTGTTTCGCAAACTTTTAGCAACGCGCTGCTACCAACGACGAGCTTGCATTAAAATTTTTAGATACGATTTATAAGAGGTACACGGAACGTTCGTGAACGTGCGCGTCGTAGCCGTAATGGCTTGTACGTACTCTCGAAGAATTTTACATAAGCGTTAATTATAATGATGCGCGCGCCTTCGTTAAAATAGCGACGATAACAAAAATCCGATGACAAGAGTATGTGCATGCAGTAGTCGTGTTTGAACTCGAGCTACGTACCGCGCGCGCGGACTCGTTGTATTCGCGTATACACGAGTTGCATCACGTTTTTGTATTAATATATTTTCCTCGTTTACGACGCGCGGCGGAAGATAAAATATGTATGCACGCTTGAACCTCGGCGCGAGCAAAGCTCACCTCTCTCCCGCGACCCGACGCGTCATTCGGTCCTAAAAGCTCGCGCGCGCGCATTTTACGCAAGCACAACGACGCGTCGTCGTTATCGGGTCAGATTTTGCCTTCCTTTCTTTTTTTTTCTGTTTTTTCGGCTACTCTAGGCACAGCTTATGCTCTTCTCGTCGCAATCCTCACTTATACGAAACAATGGCTCGGCTGAGCAATTTGACTTTTTTCACGCGGTCTTCCTCGAGATGAAAGCTCTTTCGCCGTCCATCTCGTCGAGCAACATCTTTGTTTCTCGCTGTTTTTTTCTCTCTCATTTTTTCTCTCCCTTGAGCTATGTATATTGTGTGTATGCCACATAGGTATACAGGTAGTTGGCTGGTACACGGCATTAGCGGTGCTTCCGCGCTGCGAAGCATCATCGCTCTCGGTTAGCTCGTCGCGCAGTCCGTCCGAGCTCGCACCCACACACCTATACACGGTTTATACAACACAGACTCGCTCGTATATACACACGGGAGCGCGACGAGAGAGAAACACGTGGTGTTGTGTTGTGTGTGGTGTGCGGCTCGGGATCCGATGCTTCGCTGCACATTATTGCGCGCTCGCTGTCACAGCGTCGTCGGCCGCGCACATCTCCAGCCAAGAGAAAAACTGCGCGCACCGATGGATTCACGCGTAGTCCGGTTGGCTGGCGCGTCGCGTGAACGTCGCAAGTAGTAGGTAGTACAGTATATAGCAGGTGGTAGCAGCAGCAGCAGCAGCAGCAACGCCAGAAGCTCCAACGATAGTAGCAGCGGTACACCAGCAGCTCTTTTCCTCTCGCTCAGTTCGCTCGCACTTGCAAAGCTCTCGCTTCTCTCTCTCTCTGCTGCTTATACACCTTTTTGTCTTGTGCTGCTGTGTGCTTATAAGCTGTGTCTGTGGCGGCCGAGTCTGTGCTCACTTTTATTTACTTGTGTACGTATACAGGAACGCAGGAGCTTATATACCCTCGAGCAGCTAGTTACGCGCTCGTGTTTTGCAGTGCTGCACGTGGCTGTGTTTGTGCTCTTGACTCGCAAGCTCGACTTTGTTTGGATTTATTATTTTTCTTCCCTTTTTTTTACCTGTTTGCTTTTTTACCTGCTAAGTTCACCTGCTGCTGCTGCTGCAAGAAAGTCGAGAGAAAAGAAAAATTATTTATGTTTTCGATAGGAAAACAAAGTGTCCGTGTGATGAGTGACGTGAGATAATTAATATCGCGTTGAATCCTGATAAACACGTTGAGTATATCGTAATTTTAAGTAAAAGCACAATAACAGTGTCCACCGTAGATTTAATTTTTGTCCTTTTTTTATGTGTATAAACTTTAAACTCTCTCCGAATCCGAAATTCCATTCGATGCATTCGGGCGTAGGATAGCTTTCAAGAGCTTTTCAAGAAATCGTAAAGAGCTCTTGAGCGCAAATTCATCGAGAAACAACGTTGCATTTATCCCTCGCTCGGTAAAGTACTCGTGTTTTTTTATGCACTTTCATGGATATTGACTGTCTTTCGTAAAATATATATTGCGCACCTCGCGGAGCAGCAGAAGCCACGACCTGTGCTACCTGTACTGTGTCTGTGTGTGTATTTATTTGCACGCGCCTGCAAAATCTCATAGCGATAAAATGCGTGCTCGTGTCATACGATTCATTTTCCGTCGTGTGTCGATTGAATATTTTTCAATTTTTTTTTTTTTCGTTTCCTATACTCGTTTCACAGGATGATCTCTTTAGAGGAATAAACTCGCGTTGTCTCTCTTGTTTCCGATGTATTATATTTCAACTTTGGATAAATATCGCGAGTGCGCATAAATATATAATAGTTTTCTCTCTGTCTCTCTTTGCGACGGTGAAGACTCTTGTCCGCGCGTTATTTTTTCTGACATTTTTATTTCGTAATAATACCACCATTCCGAATATCATCTTTCACATACGTACATCCATACGCATAACATGCAGCTTTGTGTAAGCGCACACGCTGCTGCTGCTGCTGCTGCTGCTGCTGCTCTTCTCTCGCTCTCACGTGTGCGTGCGAATGCATATATGTATATTATCTAACCGCCTCTCTCTAAATTGTCTTGTAAAATAACCTGTAATCCTTTGTATGACATGTATAAAGCTCGTATTAGTCGTAGCGTAGTAAAAAAAGTTGAAAAAAAACCAAACGCAAAACAGAGGAAAAGGTATGATCGAGAGAGAGAGAAAAATCCGACTTGTACCCGTCGCATAATGAATAAATTTGAATAAAATAGCATCGGCCACGCGATAAAGGCTTATGCGAGCTATAACGGAGAAAATTTTGAACGACGGATAGAGAAATAAAATTTAGAACAACAACAAAAAATCGGGCCTCGATTATTATTTTATACTTGCAGATTTGTACAGGGTTTTCCTCGTTTCGTTTTGTTATCAGATTTTCCTTCTTCTATTTTTTTTTTCATCTTTCTTTGTCTTTGCTTTGTAAAAACGTGCACAGTCGCACACACGCGAAACGAGAAGAAGGCGCCTTTTGCGATAACGCGCGATGCACATAACGCGCGCGCCTGTTCACACATACGAGAGTACAGAATTTTCACATTTTTGCATGTCTCTTTGAATTTGTAATCGCGCACTATACTAGTAGCATCGTGCGCGGACAAAAGCGCGCGTATATATCTGCTGCAAAGACAAGGTTGACTCTGCGAGCGAGATTGAGCGAGATAGCTTGGAAGAAGAAAAAAAAACGAAAACAGAAAAAAAACAAAATTAACATACGAGTATCGATGTAGTAATACGGATTTGAATGTTTCGAGATTAGCAAAGTTGTAAATCGATCGATCGCGATGCGCGCGTATGAGGCGGATTTTTTCTGTCATCTTTTCAATATAGGAACGGCATAAATATGCTACTAAACAAGATTTTTCGCACTCGCTGCTGCGTGCTCCCGTATAATACTCGCGTGTATCATCTCATAACGATTAAATTATGAAAATCATGTGTATCAATTAACGCACGCACACGCGTACGCCTGATACAAGATACATATGAGATTTCTGTCGGTGTAATAAACGCGCGGTGCATGCCGCGTGTATAGTGAAATTCTTCGGCTCGTGTGTGGACGTATATTACGTAAGCTCGCGCTCAATTTGCATGAAATTTTCGACTCGATGCAGGATAATAATTCAATGTAAATATTTTTTTTCTAATTTATTTTTTTCGGTACAATATGAGCAACTCAATTGAACTACTAATCAATTGAAAATGACAAATATGAAATTGAAATAACCGATGACTTAGACGAAGCTTTCCCACTAAAAAAATTATATGAATGACCGACGCGAGATTCCGACCAATCAATGAGCGAGGCGCAGTTACTCCTCGACCAATGAGGTGACGAATAAAACGACTTCACATGATGTTTTTAAGGAAGGAACGACGCCCGCCACTTGCACTCGCGACGCTCGTTTAAAAAAGGCACCTGCGAGTCGACCATATAAATGAGATAGCCACGCGTGAATCGGACAGGTATACGTACAGGTGAATACACACACGCGTACGATCAAACGGACTCTCGCGCGCGTAAACTTGCGAGCGCGAATGTGTTGAAACTTGAATCGTGCAAAAACGAGTTCGGGCGAGCGGGACTCGAGCGCTCTCGAAATGTATATATGTATTGAAAGTCAGAGTACGAAGGTGGCGCAATACCAATGTATTTATAAAACATACACAATTGCCTTGTTATTCTTTTCCTCGAGGATATCCTTATAAACACACACGCGTGCATGCACAGTTTCCATGGAAGCGCGAGATTTTTATATACAGAGCAAAAAATTCAATGAAATACTTCCCTCTGTATTCTCTTCAATATATGATATTCTACGAGCACAATCCCGATAAATAAGCGCATGAAATAACTCGAATTTCACTGAGCTATTTGTATATCGTTTGTACTATACGCAGCTTTCTGTATCTTTGGTTGCAGGTAACACAGACGCAGCCGTAACAATTGAGACAAACATGTGAGCCCGAAAGACAATTTCCACCACGCTATGAAGCCAGTACGGCAATCAAATTTGTTGACTTGACTTTTTTCTCGCTCGCCGTGAACGACGACGACGAGGACGACGACGAGGGTGTCTCGTTACTTTGCGCGCGCGTGTGTGCATAGTACCACTACACGATATACTGCAGTGCCCTCGCAGAGAAAAGAAGAATAAAAATAAAAAGGTTTGTCGCTTGTTAAGTGCACGTGGGTGTCGCGTGTGCGAGGGCGCGAAAAGCGACATCGACGACGGAGAGACGCTTTAAAAAATACAGCGCAAGGATAAAACAAAACAATCATCGTTGTATCGGGACACGCGCGGAGCAGCGTTGCGACGGCTCGACGACGACTCTCGTCGATCGCTCGATGATCGTCCGGGACAGAAGGCTCGAAGCAACAGCGTCAACAGAAAAAGCAGTAGCTGCAGCGAGTGTCGCCGAGTTATCATGTGATTAACATTTAGAGGGAGATGCCGCCGTGTAATTCGGCAAACTCGTCGTCCAATATTAGCCGCAGAGAACGAAGACGATCACGCCGTAGGAAAAGCAGTGGTGGTGAGCTGCTGTCGGAGCTGGCGGCAATCGTCGCGTTGTTTTCCTTCGTTACTTGAGCGAGTGCCCCGCAGTGCTGAGTGTTTGTGTGTATAATAAAATATATAAGTGTGTGAGGCCAAAAAAAGGCCAACGACCAGCAACAATAACAACAACAACAACGAAGATGAGCAACATCGATTTCGACGAGGTGCTTCTGCACGTCGGCGAGAAGGGCCGATACCAAAATATCATGTACTATCTGCTCTGCATACCTGCGACGTTACCCGCAGCTTTCCTTGTCTTCTCCCAGGTGAGTCTCTCTCTGTCTCTCTCTTTCCCTCTCAACGCCGATCGATTAATCGATATTTAAATCTGTGTGTGTGTGTGTGTGCTGCGTTGTATACATGTAACTCGCGCATTTTTAAATTGCGCCAGAAATTCTCTCGTGTACAAAGCGTCGAGCTTTTATGTATGCAGCTTTAATACGGCTGGGGAACAATTATGCTACTTTTTCCAGCGTATCAAAGCCCAATCGCGGTATTATTAACATCGTCAAATGAAAAGCTTCGAAATACGGCTTACTTTCAAGTGTTATACGATCGTTGAATAAAATATATATGGGTAAGGCTCAGAATTTTTTAAATAAACCTGCGCTCGTATGTCACCGATCTTGACGCGCTTTTGGTATGTTATAGTACATGGTAAAAAAGACCCAAAACCAAAATTTTAGACCCCCTCCCCCCTCCTACCCCCCACTTCCGGTATAAACGTCCATTTTCTATCTATATTTTTTCTGAAGGCCTGAAGCAATTAAAAAATCTGAAAAAATTCACAAAAATACTTTTCAACAATCCAAACAACCTTGAATTTTTTCAGATTTTTTGAGTGCTTCAGGCCTTCAGAAAAAATTATTGAAAATTTTGAAAATTCATATACGGCGCTACGATGCAATACAAAGCCCGATCTTTTTTTCCACTTATTTTTGACATCAAAATACATAACCTCAAATTTTTTCAGATTTTTTCAGACAGAGCGCTGGCGGTTTTTAGCCGAAAAACGCCCTTTTTTTACGAAAATAATTTTTTTAGGGCGATATGAAGCTTTAAAAAATCTGGAAAAATTTTTTTCTTGTTTTTCAGGTCAAAATACATAACCTTGAATTTTTTCAAATTTTTTAATTGAAGGCGATAGCATCTATGGCTAAAAAACGCTATTTTTATGAAAAACGGTTCCTGGAACCCAGAGGTTCCGGTAAAAAAATTTGAAAAAATTTTTTTCGAATTCCTTGTCAAATTTTAATAAATTTTGACCGTCGCAAAATTTCGATTGGAGCTTCCTAGCTCATTCTAGAGCATAACAAAGATTCGAGCGAAATTCTGAAGAAATTTGAAAAATAATGTAATTGTGATGAATGTCTTCAGAATTTCGCTCGAATCTTTGTTATGCTCTAGAATGAGCTAGGAAGCTCCAATCGAAATTTTGCGACGGTCAAAATTTATTAAAATTTGACAAGGAATTCGAAAAAAATTTTTTCAAATTTTTTTACCGGAACCTCTGGGTTCCAGGAACCGTTTTTCATAAAAATAGCGTTTTTTAGCCATAGATGCTATCGCCTTCAATTAAAAAATTTGAAAAAATTCAAGGTTATGTATTTTGACCTGAAAAACAAGAAAAAAATTTTTCCAGATTTTTTAAAGCTTCATATCGCCCTAAAAAAATTATTTTCGTAAAAAAAGGGCGTTTTTCGGCTCAAAACCGCCAGCGCTCTGTCTGAAAAAATCTGAAAAAATTTGAGGTTATGTATTTTGATGTCAAAAATAAGTGGAAAAAAAGATCGGGCTTTGTATTGCATCGTAGCGCCGTATATGAATTTTCAAAATTTTCAATAATTTTTTCTGAAGGCCTGAAGCACTCAAAAAATCTGAAAAAATTCAAGGTTGTTTGGATTGTTGAAAAGTATTTTTGTGAATTTTTTCAGATTTTTTAATTGCTTCAGGCCTTCAGAAAAAATATAGATAGAAAATGGACGTTTATACCGGAAGTGGGGGGTAGGAGGGGGGAGGGGGTCTAAAATTTTGGTTTTGGGTCTTTTTTACCATGTACTATAACATACCAAAAGCGCGTCAAGATCGGTGACATACGAGCGCAGGTTTATTTAAAAAATTCTGAGCCTTACCCATATATAGTATTCGCGTGTACAAATCAAAAAAGCTACTCTCGGTAATTGAACGCTTGTGTATACATACACAGGTACAAACACAAGCAAAAATAAAGCAAACATCGTTTTTGCCATAGCCGATGTGTTTTTTTTTTGCTCGATTTCCCTGAGAAACTTTCCCCTCTCTTTCTCTCTTCAACTTACCCTGCAATATGCGACTCAATTTTTGAATTAGAATTTTTTCTATATCCAAGCACTTCAAAGTTGTTTTACTTCGGCGGGATAACTCGAGCGAAATTCTAACGACGTGCATGTATATGTGTTTACGTGCGCTACGCGTGATGCATAAAACATACACAACAGAAGAAAAATATCAAAGTTTGTCCGCTCTTATTATATGCGAATATAAGTAGTATATGATGTATGTAACGTAGGTGGGCGCGCCGGAGCAAGGTGAGCTTCGCCAACGGTGCAAGTCAAGCGCGCGCGTGGCATCAAAGGATTTTTATCAAAAACCTATTATGCCTTTTTTAAAGTGGGCTTTAAGACTTCAACGACGGCGACGAGCTCTTTTTTTCGCGATATTGCCACTGTAGCATGAGATTATATTAAATGGAGGGTAAAATTTTTAATGAAATTACGTCTCGGAGGCGCGTCGAGTCGTCATCGACGTTGTTATTCGTCCAGATCCTTTGTTCGAGAGATTGCGAGATGCTTTGAGTAATTCATTTGGAACGAGTTAGAAAATCATTTCTCTTATTTATCAGCTCTAACGCTCACAAGAATTCATGAATACATTCATAGGTAAAAGCTCGACAGACGATTGACATCCAGTGCCAAATTTGATATCCTGCCAGCGTGAATAATTCAAATGCCTTGTCGATTGGATAAATTGAATTTTTCATGATATTTTTATTCGAGACTTTTGCCTAAATCATGTGGTCATCGTGAATAGTTAATGCATACTTCATAAATTATAAAATAGACTCGTGCCAATTTCAAATGTTTTTTTTTAATAACATAGGCGCTGTCTGAAATAGGCAGTTTAACTTTTCAAATGAATAAAGCATTTCCATAGGAACTCGAGGGTAGATTTTTCCGAAATTTAAATTCATGTTTCAGTAAATGCTAATTTTTATATACCTAAATTATGGTTCTTCACGTATTCAATTCTTACAATCGAATAATATTATTAATTTTACCTTAGATATTTCTTCTACCCTAGATTCTTACCAGAACAATCAATTGTTTTGATTTTTTTTTATGAACAATTATTTACAAAATTATTACAAAAATATTATTGAAGTTCTGAGTATTCACACAGAATTACTTAATGTTTCATCGTTGCTTTTTTTCTTTCGATTTACTCGAATTTGGCCACACGCCATCTAACGGTAAAGTATAAACTACTGTATAACTATTTTCCCAGCACCTAGCGTTATTTTGAATGCAAGTATTGTAATTAAATTTCATAAAATATTAGCAATATTCAATTCTTTACTCAAAAATGCACAAATTGGTTAAGTTATATGCAATGTATTTATTTTAGTTTTAATATTTATAGTATCACTTTATTAATTTTAGTATTGGTACTTCATTTTTCTTGTAACAAACGTAGAATTTTTAAACGTAATTTTTAAAATAAATATATTGTAAAAAGTTAATAAAGTACGCCTATCAAAATTCGGTACAATCTCCCATTAAAAGTATGTAAAATACGAATAATTTTTACAGTGATACTTCGCGAGTAAAAAGAAACAAAAAAAGCCACCTTTCTTCAGTTAAAAATTAAATCAATAAAACTGTTCGTAAGGATAAAAGTACTTCTAAAAACGTAACTTGGGATTAAATTGTACCCTCACAGTTAGTTCTGATGTAAAAATTAGCTTCTCTATGTAATAGTAGGCATCTTTTGAACCATGAATTTAAACTTCTAATATATACCTGCCGTCAGTAAAGCCTCTTTCCGACTTCCTCTAAGAAAATTTCTTCATTTGAAAAGTTAAACTACCTGTTTCTCTACCATTACTCAAAATTTAACTGAAAGAAACCTTAAAAATTTGCATTAGTTTAATAAACAAGCACATTGTTAATTCTCATATTGCTCGCTCGATGTGTGCTGCAGGTGTTCGTCAGTGCCACGCCGGATCATTGGTGCCGCATCCCGGAGCTGCACAAGCTCCGGGGCATTCTCAGCCTGGAGGATCGCAAGGCTCTCTCGCTGCCCTACTCGGAAAAAAAGCTAGACGGCCGGCTCGAGTACGACAAGTGCACGATGTACGACGTGAACTACACGGAGATCGTGGAGTCGTGGCTGGGCCCGGACTACGACAACGTCACGGCGGGCCTCGGCCTGGCCGACTTCGCCGACACCGGCGGCGGCAATCACTCGACGACGGACAGCTCGACGGGGGGCCTCTTCAGTCCGGACGGCCACGGCGGCTCCAATCTGACCTCGCTGCTGCGCTTCCCGCGCAGGCTGCCACCGCCGCCCGTCGGCAATCCCAATTGGACGGTGGTGAAGTGTCGATGGGGCTGGGAGTACGACACCGGGGACTACGACAGCACCCTCGTCACCGAGGTAAACTCGACAAAAGCAGCTTCTGACTCCCCACGCTTCAACACCTGCTTATTTAATTTCTTAATCCTATGATATTTTCCGATATGGGGGCAAATATTGCATACCTATAATATGACCGATTACACGACTGCATCAAATTTCAAAGAAATACCTTCGTTCGATTCTTATTCAACTGAAGTACAGCTGTAATACGGTATACAAAGGCATTACTTTCACGATTGATTCTTGTTTTCATCGTTATAAGAATGATTTTGCGTGGTTTCATTTATTCATTTCTATAGAGGTTTAATAATTACATTCTATTGTTTGAATCGAATTGCAAGCTTCAAATTAAAGTATGCATTGATTACGATAAAAAAAGCGTGAATCATTAGTTCGAGCTTAAAAATTATCCTTACCAACCAGTAAATTCGATTTAATACCGTCTTTTTGAATGTTTCTTGAAAATTCTATGAAGCTTGCGATGATATACGACATTAAAAATAATCGATTTTTCCATGGCAAAAACTTTAAAGAAACTTTGAATGCATTTATGTAAGAATTCACCTGCATTACGGGAGCACAAAAAGAAAAATTACACGTGATCTCGCCGAGTTATCTATAATTGTAAATCGTTCATGACTTATACGATCTTCGCGAGAGCTCGCTGACACCAAAACTTAGCACGTCTTCGCAAGGCTGCAAAAGCGCACAACTCGCACATATTTTATAGCTGTCTGATGTGCATTTGACGATAATATTCCAAGTTACTTTAACACCGGTGTATAATTGTGTACTCGGTAAAAACATAAAAAAAAAATTTACTCCGGTACATCGATACTTTTGCAATTAAATTTTTTTTTCGTAACTCCGACTTAAAATAGTCCAGAAAGCCTCATATCAGAAACTTTCAAATTAGGATACATCGCTGCCAGATTACAACGCAATTAAGGGGTCTACGTGGCAAACATTCATTATAAATGAGCAAACCTAATATAAAGCAAATAATTGAGTTTAGTCAATGTGCCACTAAAACTCAATCTTCCACACATGTATATACATGACACTCGATGCACGGCCCGAGAGCAGAAGTTCCACTTCGCGGCGACGTATTAACCTCCGCCGTTTAATTATGCCCCCCGTTACACGTTCGTCAGTCAATACGTCGCGCCCGCTAGAAATGTATAACGCGATCCTCGTGAGCGGCGGGCGGAAATTTGCATAATTTCACAATTCCTGTCGCTCAGCGACAGCCGCCGGAAGAAAATTCGTGTACGCAGAATTGTGTACTGTAGCCTTTAAAAAATAGACGACTCGAGTGTGTATGTATACGATGTAGTGCTCTTTGCCGATTGCGCGAAGACGAAACGACCCGCGTGTCCCGCGCTTGAACTGCACAAAGTGAGAATCTCGAGTTTCAACGTTGCGAGAATAGTTAAATTTTTTTGCCTTGGCCTTTGGATCCGGTTGTCCTCCGGGATGCGATGTAGGCGTTTCAAGCATTTCATGCAGTTATTTTTATATGCGCGTTAACGAGAAATAACTCAAAGAAAAAATAGAAAAGAAGGAAATTTCGTTCGACGACGAGAAATCATATTAAAATTTTTTTCTTCGTTATAAAATACGGTTGATCGCGAGATGAAAAAAAAATTATCAATGTTATCGAATTTAAGCTTCATTGACGCTATAATAACGCGAAAAACATGACGATTCTCGTTAAATAAATATAATTCTCGCTCAGGTTTTCCCAACGGTATTCGGTGGTATTTTATCGATTGCCACTAATTAAATGCTCTGGGCAATGGCAAAATATTTCATTTGATTATTCGTAGAGTTACTTGAGCAAAAATAAATATTTGACCTTTTCTTCTTTATGGACTGCAGTTCAGATAATTTGTATAATAACGAGATGTGAAAGGTTTCTATACTTATTGAATTAAACTAATGCGTGTTTTTTTTTATTTTCTTGAATTTCATTAAATTATTTTTCCCATCTTAAAGTCGATTTTATAAATTATATTGATAATCAACAGGGACGGGTGAAAGAAATCGATTGATACTGGAAGATTAGAGTGTCAATTATCGATAAAAATCTGTGATTGTTAATAATTTTCCCTCTGCATTGGTAGTGCGCTTATCAGATGGGCTCATTTTACGTATAAATAAATGCATCTTGTAATGATCACAAATTACACATGTGTTATAAGTTTTAGTCAACCTAATATTAATTCTGTGTTGGTAAGGTATGTTAACCCATTAAGAAGGAATAGATATTGAAAAAAGGGTGCCACGAAAAATGAATTTGAACACAGCACATGGAAAGGCAAAACGACTTAAGTCCATATTTTTTGCTTCCTATCAGCACAATGATACTCTTTTAATTTAAAAAAATTCTAGGAGTGTGCCGAAAAAATTGACTCCATCGATTTTTTTCATGGTCAAGTCGATTATTTGAATTTTTGGGGTTATATTCTGAGCACTCGAGTTTTTTCAGCTGGTCGATCGAATGACACGTAAAGAGTCACAATCGTTGAATTCGGTAATAATTAGAAAGTGAAAATCCAGCCAAGTAGGGGTGGGGCCTATGCTTACGATTGATGACGACCCACTACGATTTGCATCTGCGTACACATAACTAAAGTTACTTTATTTACTTTATATTGCATCGGCCACGTGTTCTCCACTTTTCACAGATCGAAGGAAGTGCGTAAAGTCAGTATATATTACGACGTCGCAGCGTGAACAGCTCATATAGGAAGGTCACGTCGATCGGCAGAAAGTGATTTTTGTGAAAAAAATTGTTTAATTAATAGCGACTGTATGCGAGTGTGCAGGATGATGTCCCCGTTCGATCTATAGGTTCGATTGTTCAGTGAACAAACAAAACTAGAAAGACTAAAGAGCTTACGAGAAAATGTCGATTGGGAGATCGAAGATGAGCGATACGAATTTTATAATCAATTTTGTAATTTAGTCAGGAATTGGACGGGCCAATTCCCTGATCTCCTAGACATCAATCGCCCCAAAAAGATTGAGTATCTTCTCTCGGAAGCCTTGCATTCTAACAACTATTTCTTAAAAAAAGTAATCATCGAGTTTGTGGCTCTCACCGGCTACGAGGACGAGGACTATGAAGTCGATAAAAAGGGCAAGCCATTGTTGTGCCGCAAAACACCAGTGCATGAAGCGTCTCAATATCTCCGGAGGGGCGTATGTGATGACTACGTCCATGGGCTTTTTAAAATATACAATAGATTTGATGTGAACTACATTGACAGAGAGGGATTTACTCCTCTGCACATGTTTTGCAAAGATAACAATCATGAGTTTGCGGAGGTATTTTTCAAGATCAACAAAGAAATCAATCGGTCAGTAAAAGTCGACGCAAAGGACAATTTGGGTCGAACGCCGCTGCAATTAGCCGTAGCGAGTCTTGCGATGGAAACTATGGATGTAGTCTTGGATCACGGTGCCGATCTGTCTAGCTTTGTTTTTCCCACCGTGAATGACTTCGACGAGTGCTTTACAGTGGACGAAAACGAGAGGCACAGGTTAAAAGTCAAGTATGCGTCTGGCCTTCTGGCCATTGTCGAGTGCCTCGAAAAAAGAGGATTTCTAATGGGCCGAAGCGACGCCGTAACGATCATGAAATTAATCATCAAGTATGAATTGTACGAAAAATCCTCGAATCTTAAAAATGTTTTGGGTAAAGACAAATTTTTCACGAATCAAGTAAATAAGATAAGGATAGTAGATAGTGGTACGAGTCCATCGCTCTACGACCTGATTCGATTAAGACCGGAAGAAGTAGCGGCGAAACAACTCACATGTTTAGACCACTTCAAGTTCGCGGGCTCGAAAAAGTTCAGTAAGATTCCCGAAGGGCACCGCCAAGCTTGCGATCTACACCTGTGCGAAATAATATCGAGAAGATTTTTCCGGCGCTGGACACTGGATTCTTTATTGGAGTTGACGCGTTACCGATTGTCAATGCTTTGCTGTGATATAATCATGGAGAGGTTAACATACAGAGATTTATGTAATATTTGCTTGGCGGCTACAATCCAACAAAGCTCAAGATGGTGATCAGCAAATTTGCAGTATTTGTTTATGTCTATTTTCAATACAATTTTGTATACTTTTCATGCCATTCAAAAAAATGAATTTAAAAAATAAGTTTCGATTTCTTTGATCAATAAATTATACGCCATTATTAATAGTAAAAGAATCTTTTAGTAAAAGTTGTGTATTTCATTAATCACGACGACACCTACAAACCTACAAAATCGCATCTACAAACAAGTGCGATTAACTCGAAAAAAAGTTGGGTATTCCAATTTTTTGTAACTCAATTTGAACTCGACGAGCTAGATTAGACTCGAGTCGACAACGAAAAATCGGATACTCGCACAATCCTAATAAAAAGCTAAAATATTTGTATTTTTTGAGTTCTCCGCGCTTAGTCAGGAATACACAAGCAACTTAGAATTAATTTTTCTCAAAAACACGAAAAGTAGACTCGAGTCGTTTTACTTTTTCACTTGAAAGATGAGCTTGAAGCGTTTGAAGATCTCTTTATAAAAATGAGTATTATAAATCTCTTTATAAGATAATAACTATTTCCAACTATCATAAGATGCGATGAAAAATCCATTCTAATCTCAAATTCGACGAGAACACGGATAAAAATAATTTTACCAATCGCTGCAGTTGCAGTCGAAAAAAGCTTCTGTGTGATTCGAAGTCTCGCGTGCACGTATGTGTGCGCTTTGACATAATGCTTACCGCCGCGCTTGTACTGCAGTGGATAGGCCAGAGGAAGTGACGGCTCGTCTATACGCTTGTGCGTGTGCGTGTGTGTGAGCGTACAACGCTTAGGTTGATGCAGTAACAGAAGCATATACAAGCACGAATATGGAGCGGGATCGCATGTACGCGGCGTGCAGCTCGATGTACAAAGCTTATATCGTGTGTTAGTATGTGTGTATCGTGAAACGGCCGCTATTGTAAATCCCCTCGTG